AAGACACAATCATTCAACAGATGGTTGAATTGCAGAAATAACAGAGAGCTGTGTGGGATTTTCACTTGCCTTAGTCCCATGCCCTGCTCTCCAACCCTGTGGTAGCTCTGAACACTAACAGCCCTGCTTCATGGTGAAACCCATCAATCTAGCAAATGAGGGTGGCCCTCCTTCAAAACCTCATTCCTTTGGAAAACACCATTCACGATGCTGTCTTTCTCTGATCTGATGTGGAACTTGACCAGTGCAAAAAGCTTTTCATTTGGCAGCATTTGTTGAAAACAGCAACAGGCACTTACATAAGTTCACAAATGCCTGAACTAATGAATAATACTTGCAGTAAATAATAGACTAACCAAAAATATTTAAAGGATAGTCTGGGGAATGTGATGTCTATAAGAAGTTTAAAAAGCTCCAACATATTTCTGGGAATATAGAAGAGCATGTATATGCATGGAGCTGCATGCATGCTCAGGAAAAAATTTACCTTGAGGTTGTCTGCAAGCAGGAAGTTGAAAGTATGGCAGAATTATGAACTACTTGGTTGCGTGTTGAAGTTGTGTCCCAATGTACATGCAGATCCCCTTGGTAAACACAGAAAGACTTGAAACTTCGGACCAAAATGGAGGCATAGGTAGACACACCATGCCTCCTCACACAAGCAAAATAAGTACAGCCATTTAAAAACAAAAACAAAAAACCCAGTACTGGCAGAAAAGTGAACTGTATGAAAGTCTGACAATCAAAGAGTTAAAGTAGACACATTCATCCAGACTGGTAGGAGGGGTGGAGTAGGGGAGCAAGGATGGAGAGGGCTGGCAGCAGGGCGGCTGGTGGATCCCAGGCACACAAAGTGGCAACTGGAGAACCCAGCAAGGCCGCAGATTGTAGAGGGACACCGCATGTCCAGTCCGACATTCACATACAGATAAAGCAGGCGAAACTGGGGAGCGAGACAGACCACACAACCCAGGGCCCCAGCACAGGGAAATAAAGCCTAAAAACACCAATTGAAAACACCTGTGGAGTTGAGGCGCCAGGAGAAACTCCCAGTCTCACAGGAGAGTTTATTGGAGAGACCCACAGAATCCTAGAACTTATACAAACCCTCCCACATGGAAATCAGCACCAGAAAGGTCCAATTTGCTTTCAGGAAGCAGGGAAAGTGGCTGAAATCCGGCAGAGAGCAGAGCAAGTGCCATTGTTCCCTCTCAGACCCCTACTCCACATACAGCGTCACGACTCAGCAACAAGGCTGTCCTGCCCAGGTAAACTCCTAAGGCTCCAACCCTCATAAGTAACAAGACCACCGAGACATGAATGAATGAATGAATGAATGGCCCAAATGAAAGAACATATCATAGCTCCAGAAAAAATACAACTAAGCAATGAAGAGATGGGCAAACTATCAGATGCACAGTTCAAAACACTGGTGATCAGGATGCTCACAGAATTTATTGCATTTGGCCACAAATTAGATGAAAAGAATGAAGGCTACACTAAGTGAAATAAAGGAAAATGTACAAGGAACCAATACTGATGGGAAGGAAACTGGGACTCAAATCAACAGTGTGGACCAGAAGGAAGAAAGAAACATCCAATCATAAAAGAATGAAGAAACAAGAATTCAAAGAAATGAGGAGAGGCTTAGGAACCTCCAGGACATCTTTAAATGTTCCAACATATGAATTATAGGGGTACCAGAAGGAGAAGAGGAAGAGCAACAAGTGGAAAGGTTATTTGAACAAATAATAAAGGAGAATTTCCCCATTCTGGCTAAGGAAATCAACTTCCAGGAAATCCAGGAAGCTCAGAGAGTCCCAAAGAAGTTGGACCCAAGAAGAAACACACCAAGGCACATCATAATTACATTACCCAAGATTACAATGAAGGAGAGAATCCTAGAAGCAGCGAGAGATAAGGAGCAAGTCACATACAAAGAAGTTCCCATCAGACTGTCAGCTGATTCCTCAAAAGAGACCTTGCAGCCAAGAAGGAGCTGGAAAGAAGTATTCCAAGTCATGAAAGGCAAGGACCTACATCCAAGATTGCTCTATCCAGCAAAGCTTTCATTTAGAATGGAAGGGCAGATAAAGTGCTTCCCAGATGAGGTCAAATTAAAGGAGTTCATTATCACCCAGCCCTTATTATATGAAATGTTAAAGGGACTTATCTAGGAAAAAGAAGATAAAAACTTGTACAATAAAATGACAGCAAACTCAGAATAATTAACAACCACACCTAAAACAAAAACATAAACAAACTAAGCAAACAACTAGAACAGGAACAGAACCACAGAAATGGAGATCACATGGAGGGCTATCAACAGGGGAGTGGGAGGAGCAGAGAGGGGAAAAGGTACAGAGAATAAGTAGTATAGATGGTAGGTAGAAAATAGACACAGGGAGAGTAAGAATAGTATGGGAAATGTAGAAGCCAAGAGCTTATAAGTATGACACATGGTCATGAACTAAAGGTGGGGAATGTGGGTGGGAGAAGGTGTTCAGGGTGGTGGGGAGTAAAGGGGGGAAAATTAGACAGCTGTAATAGCATAATCAATAAAATATATTTTTAAAAAGACTGAGAGGCTTATTGATTCTACATAGTAAAGAAATATTCGTTCAGTCATTAAGTGACCACTAAGTTAACCAAGCAGAGACTTCAGTGGCTACATGACAAATAAAGACTTTAAAAATTTAGTTCAGAGAAGTCACTAAGCAAACAAGCAACAACAACTACAACAAAAAACAACAATTATGTATCCTTGAGTTGGTGGTAGGAAGCAAATACAATTTCGATATTTTCCATATTATATTTTAAAGTGTCCAGTTTTCCCCCAAAAAATTGAGACATGCAAAGAAACAAGAAACAATAGTCTATATGCACAAGAGAGGCAGTTAATAGAAATTGCTCTTCAGGAAGCACAGACATTGAACTTATTAGACAAAAAATTCTAAATCAGCTATTTTATATCTATTCAAATAACTCAAGGAAACAATATCTAAAGAACCCAAGTATAAGGATGCCATCGCACCGAGTATAGAATATCAGTAAGATAGAAAGCCAGTCTTCCCTACACCTTGCAAAGTCTCCATGTTCAGTCCTCCATTACCACCTGTCTGAGCTCCTCTCCCACTTGCTTTCCCCTCTCTCACTAGAGATCTGACTCACAAGAAAAATAGAAGATAAGGGAACATGTTATACTCTTCACCACAGGGATGTAGCCATCAAAATTCAGAATGTGAGAAAATCTATTGGACAAATAACCTAGTTTCTCCAACAAATAAATTGCAGGAGGGGGCAAAAAAGATGGAGGGAGAGCCTTTAGATTATAGGAGGCTTAAAATGTATCACCCAGCACCAACATGAAGACCTAATTTGAGCTCTGATTTTATACACATGTGTATATATAGGTATATAACATATATGTATAACACACATGCATATATAATTGAGGAATTGGAACCATAAATAGATGTGAGACATTAAACAACTGAGAAATTACTATTGATTTATTTTAGTTGTTAAATGGGATTATGCTAATTTTTAAAAGATTTTTATTTATTTTATTTTTAGACAGGGGGAAGAAAGAAAGAGAGGGAGAAAAACGTCAGTGTGTGGTTGCCTCTCACACGCCCCCTACTGGGGTCATGGCCCATAATCCAGACATGTGCCCTGACTGGGAATCGAACCAGCGAGCCTGTGGTTCACAGGCCGGAGCTCAATCCACTGAGCCACGCTAGCCAGAGAGATTATGGTTCTGTTTACAGAGTATTTTCCATTTAGGATATGTGGGGAAACAGGTATGGATATATTGATGTAATAATATAGGGCTCCGGGGGAATAGATGGTGCATAGATGTAATATCACTGACCATAAATTGATCACTGAAGCCAAGTCAGTGTCTTAGTCCATTTGTGCTGCTATACCAAAATACCACAAGCTGAATAGCCTATAAACAACAAATATTTACTTCTCACAGTTCTAGAGGCTGGGAAATCCAAGATCAAGGCACCACTGGATTCAGTGTCTGGGGGAGAACTGTTTTCTCATTCACAGCAGCCTTCTCCCTGCAGCCTTGCACAGCAGTGGAAGAAGCAAAGCAATTCTCTCTGGCCTCATTTTTAAGGCACTAATCCCATTGGTGAGGGGACTGCCCTTACAACCTCCTCACCTCCCAAAATCTACCCCGATGCCCTCCCCGCCATCATACCATCACTTTGGTATTAGGTTTCAACATCTACATTTTGGTGAGGGGTGGGGGGACACAAACATTCACCCCGTAGCACGAAGTAATGGGTAGAAGGGAACCATTTTATTAGATAAAGATTAGGTTGTTTATATGTGTAAATTTTTCCATTTGTCTTCAAAATCTGATGGTCTACCACATGAGGAAGCCGGGTCAAAGAATGGCTCACGGTTCCCTGGAAAACATCACGAGCCATTGCTGAGGCCTGCGGTGCAGCAGTTTCGACAGTAAGCCCTGGAAGCCAGCACCTGAGTCTGTGTGTTCTTGGACTTCACTTTTCTGTGCCTCTGTTTCCTCAGATGCAAAGTGGAAATAATAATGACATCTACTCTATAAAGTTGTCATGAAGATTAAACAAATTCATAGGTATAATGTGTTATCTTAGAACATTATCTTCTCTATATAGTAAGCACTCAAAAAATGTGAACTATTATTATTATTACATAGGAAAAGAAGTTGAAATAAATCACTGGGGTCTTGAAACACATGTAATCCAAAATATGTTTTTAATCTTGATGAGGTTCACAAATGGCACGATATTGACATTTCCTTAAACAAATTATACGGTCAGGTTCTCAGACAACAAGGCATAGCATCACCGTTACAACAGAGCATAGCGTCACCACAGGGGCCACAGGAGGCAGTGATTTCACGTGCCCTGCGGTTTGGCAAAGCTGCCATGGTCAGCAGGAGAGCTCCCTCAAAGGACCAGTTTGCCGCCAGATGAGCTGATGAGAGACGCCATCATGTTTACTGCACATGGAATCAAATATAAAAAGGATGCACAAACAAATATGGAGTTTGCTTGAGTTGCATTCGATTTCATTCCTTTTGATTGACAGGGTGGTTTTTTCTGTTTGTTTGTGTTTTCGTTATCTATTAGGATGCACACATGTATATCTTCCATGGGGCCTTCTCACCAAGTTGTTGTCAACAGAAATTAATAGAAGTGGTGAGTTCAGCTTCATGGTAACCTGAGATGGAGAAAAAAATTTTTTTAAGAAGAAAGAGAAGAATGAGAACTAGGAGAATAAGAAGGGAATAAACAGAATTATTACTGGAAGAACATGAACATACAGAAGTACTTCTTTAACTAAACAGCATTTACAAATTATGGGTATGAGGTGTCGGAAGCAGGCTTTTAAAACAAATGAAAATAAAAACAGTCCAATAGTCACAATAAACATTAGCAATAGTATTATGATTACAGCCCTCTGGACTGAAACTCTGAACATGGATCAAGAGTTCAGGGCTTTCTGAATCTGAGTTCATTAATGAGCAGTAGCCCTGGCTAAGGTTTGCAGGGTCCTCCTTTTCTGAATTCAGCAAGCATTTTTTTGTTTATCTGTCTTCTCAGAAAGATGAAATTGCATCTCTGCGGCCTGACCTTGTCCTCTTACTTCAGGCTGAGTTGTAGAAGGAGCTCACTACCTCAGGAGGAAGAATACAATTGGAGAGGAGGATCTGAAGGACCTACCAGGTTCAGTGGATTTCAAAATGTGGGTGTTAACCTCCAGATCCCTTCCCCTCCCATCCAAGGGTATAAGGGTAGTCACCTTCCTAGAGTCGGTTAGCAGCTCAGGCCTGAAGGTCTCTACGGCGACGGCGACGACCATAGGCATCAGAGCCTACGTTGGTGGGCACGAAGTCGCTCTTCACCACGCCCCCAGACCTGCTCAGCAAGTCTGCCAGCCGATGGGTCACACAGGTGGAAGTGTTGCAGGCTCTCTTCTGAGCAGTGACACTGATTTGCAGGATGGAGAAAGAAAAGAAAGCCTGTTAGTGAGAGGCTAGAGTCAGGAGCCTACCCCATGGGACCTCCTCTAAAAGAATTGTAGCTCTTCGACATACCACTTAAGTGTTTCTCCTAAATGCAATTATCAAAGCTGTTAGAGGAAATGGCCTGACAGCCTTTGCTAGCAGCCCTTTATGAAAAACAACAAAAACAAAAACAAAAAACCCAGTGCCCAACCACGGGACATATTTTAAAACCTTGCCCTTATCGTCATGTACATACAATGCTCTTGGGATCAGGAAGGAGTACTCAGCAGAGGCCCGGCCCCACTCCAGGACACAGAAGAAGCACACAGCAGCAGTACCCCAGCCATGGGCACCAACAAAACCACTTTCTGTGGGAAAATAAAAATCCCCTCAAGTCTTACCTGGAAACTCAGAGAACAGGGCTTGCAGGGTCCTTTCCCAGATGGGATTACCTACTCCGCAGCATACCTGTTCTTGATGCTGGAGCTGGTTCCCAGGCCCTGTACCCAGCTACCCTGAAGTTAATGTTACTCTTAAACATGGGCCCTGGGCACTCTCAAGCCTGGAAGAGGGACCAGAGTAATGACCACCGAGTGTACATCCTTTTAGAACAAAGGTTTATTCATCAAGGATGAAGCATGAGTGATAAAGCAGGCATTGCAGGGCTCCGCTGTGATCTTCTCTAGGGTTCCCTCACTCTCTTTCCTCTAACCTAGTCTATGGGTCCTGCTCTCTTACCTTCCATCCTGAGGTTCCCAACATTCTCTGTCATAAGCAAAGCTACCAGTACCAGCTTGAAGAGCAACCAGATTGAAATCTGCATGCATTAAGTTCAATGGGAGCAAGAAAGGAAATCAGGAGGGAGTGTAAGGATTTCACTTAGAATCCTGGGGCAACAGCTACCCGTCTCCAAGCCACTGGCTCTATCCCTTTTCTTGCTGGGTGTTGCAGCCCAAAGCTGATGCCAGAGAACATATGAAAGTTGTTTGGGTACTTCAAGTATGTGCCCAGCACACAGGTACTCAGATTACTGCACCACTTAGCTCTGGAGCTGTCCAGGCTGCCGGAAAAAGACATGCCAAGCAATACCATGCACTGGGTTGGCCCCTGGGAGCAGTCATGCAGGTTAGACCAGGAAGGAGTCATTTAGAGTCACTTAGACCAGGGGCAGAAGCGGCAGGCCGGAGGACCCTTCATATATTCTCCATTAGAACTCAGATGGTTGCTGAGCCAGGGCTGTGTGGGGAAGGGGTGACCTTTCCTGGCCTTCCTCATGCTGCTCAGGCCTTCATGCTCTGCAGAGAGGTTCTCAGGGCAGATGCAGGTGCAAACCATGCCTCTGCCCAGGTGGTGCGAGGGCCAGAGCAGGAGCTGGTGTGTGCTCCAAGCTCAGGGTGCACAGGCAGGTGTGGCTGGGGAAGGGTGCCCTCCCCAGCCCAGCGACAGCGTGCACATCTCCACAGAGCCTACCTCAGACACTGCTCTACCTGACCCCACCCTCTGCAAGGCCTTTGGCGTCACCTTGCACATGTGCAACAAAGCCTCCTTGCAGGTGTGAGAGACCAGCACACACATGTTAAATTTCTAACACGTCCTGAGGTATACTGGGTCCACCTGCTGGCTTCAGACTTACCAGTCTTAATTCATCTGATGCTGGGTCGTCTCCTCAGTGGGGCAAGACCAATGCCCAGAGAAAGAGATGCCACACCTCCTCATTTTATTTCCTAGCAGCTTTCAGAAATGGGTCTTTTAAATACGTCTAACCCAAATCCCTCCAGCTGCCCCTGGACCTCTGTCTCCCATGGAGCATGAGAGTGGCTGGGCTCCAGGGCCTGGTGAATGACAGCCTGCTGGACTCCTGGCCAGATATTGTTTTCCCTACCTGCCTAGGTTATGTCCTCCTGGATATGCCAAGGTGGGTGGGGAGCCTTACCTGGAGTCCTCTGTCTCCTGCTCCTCCTGCTCCAGTTCATTGGTCTTCCTCTCTACATAGGCCTTCAGCAGTGCAGCCAGTAGGAGGCGCCCTTCCTTCTCACTGAGTGCAGCGGGGTCAAGGTCTGGGAGGCTCTCCAAGGCCGACCTAGGGAGGGGCAATCCCAATACAAGCTCTAAATCCCAGTCTGGCCCCTCCCCAAGATAAGCGGCCAGTCCTCCTGCTTGCTATGACCTGCCCTGAAAATGTGCCCTTCTCTCCCCACTCCCAGCCCACAGGGCTTGGGGCCACCGTCCCCCTGAAGGCGTTGATCCACTAGGAGCCTCTGTTGTAACTTCAGAGGCACAGAACTGCCCAGTCCCAGGGTCAGTGGCTAGTAGCTCCAGGCTGTCTCACCTGAGTGGTGCTGCCTGGAGGCCGCCTGCCTGGCACAGGACCAAGATGCTGAAAGCCAAGAAGGGGGAGGACTTCCCGAAGCCCATGATGCCTCTCTGTAAAAGGAGAATAACATCACCGTGGCACCAAGAGCAAGCGGTGGCCTGGGCTCCAGTCCTGCCTCTGGCACACCTGCCTTGTGTCCTCAGGCAGGTTACCTCACCTTTTCACCCCTTGGTTCTGTTCTTTTGCCAGATGGGCTGTTGTGAACCTCAAAAGATACGTTTTAGTAAATGTCATGGTAGAGCAGAAACAAGTGTGCTGGGGTGAGAATGGGAGAGTTCTGCGGGGAGCCGGAGAGAAGCCACAAACGTCCGCATGCACACACACCCACACCTTTGCCCTACACAGAAGCCGGGCGCGGACCCACCCTGCTGTATACTTAACCTCCTGTCTTCTCGGGACCGGGACCGAGAAATCTAGGAGCACCTTCCCCTAGGCTGAACTTCCTGCTAAGTCAGGGGCGAGGAAAGCGGGAAGCATAAATTGGAAGAGTGCTGTGGGGTTGAATTTGGGGAAAATTTAACATGCCGGTTACTAGTGACTCCAGGCTGCACTGGGGCGCAGTTTGGCTGCAGATCTTAGGCGCCAGCACCCGAGTTGAGCCCACGGTTCTGGTTCGCTAACTGCACTGCCTCAGGCCCATGCCACTGCCCCAGGCACGCTCGCGGGCTGGAGGCGCCTCAGAGGAAGACCCAGGGCTCCACAGACCCAGGAACCAAATGGGGTCCCTGCAGGCACAGCGCGCGCAGGGCACTGCCAGACCCGCCAAACTCCGGCAGGATGCCGCGCACCGACGGGCACCGACACGAGGGCCGCACACTCTCCTATCTGGACTCGCAGAGCTTCCAGCACCCAGGCGAAACCCTGGGGGTGCTTGGGGTTCTACTGATGTCACTTAGAAGAAGACGTACCGATGGCCCCAACCACCCGCCTTCTCTCGAGAGGGAGAGAGAGCTAGAAGCACCTGTCTGTAGCTGGGCCGAGGTGGCCGTGAGAGACAAAGGAAAGGCAAGCAGGCAGGCAAGTGGAGCAAATTGGATGCGCTGATCCAGAAGCAGGTTATTCAAGTGGAGTGGGAAGAAGTTCCTCACCTGGAGGCTTGAGATGCGGGAGAGTGCAAGCGGCCGGTCCGCCTAGATGGACACAACGCCTGCTGTGGGCGTCTTCCCCGCGGAGCTCTTGGCTCTTATTCCAGTGATAGTGGGAGGGGGGTCCCCCCATGAGCCCGCGCGGCCAATCCAAAGTGGCCAGGACCGACCAGCTCCGACTGCGTCATTGCTCCCGCTCCCGGCACCGGTCCACTAGGGAGGAGAGCCATCCGCTCAGACTGTCTTTTGCAATGAGGTCATTGCTTGGAGAGCTTGAGGGCTGGGTGAGGGTGAGGCGCCTTCGACGTCCAGAAAGTGGGGACAAATCGGGGAATTTGGAGTCACCAAAAGTGAGCAGCCAGAGCCACTCTCACTTTTCTTGGCGCCTGAAACCGGCCTCGCGCCTCGCTCCTAGCACGCCAGCGCAGCCCCCAGCTGGACCCGCAGGGGGCCGAACAGTAGTCCTGGGGTCTAAAGGTACCTTAGCGGAAACGGCGCACGCTGGAGGGGGATGGTGAGATCGAAGGGACTTGACAGGTCGCTGTCTTTGGACCACCTGGGGTGCTCCTCTGACACCCTCCGTTTCATTCCCTCCCCACCCCCGCCCGCCCAGGGCACCCCACCCCTCTCTCCCTGGCTCCCTGCCACCTCCGCAAAGTGGTTGTATTTCCGATCTGGCAGCCAAGCCTCTTTAGCCTCCTCACTCCTCTGGGACGGGGAGAAGTGCAGGAAAGAACTGGGGAAGGGGCTAAACGGGCGCCGTGTAAGCATCCCTTTCTAGCTGCCTAATCCTCGAACTGGAGTTGAGCATACTGGACCCTCCACTACAGCGCGGCTGTTGATTCGTACAGCTGCCCGGGGCCTCTGGCGTTTTTGACGAGCTGCTGGGCGGGACAGCCTGTGCCCGGATCTCTACCTGTCGCGTCCCACACTCCCTTTTCCTGAAGCGCTTGATTGTTAAGCAGGCCGGCGGAGCGCCTACCAACCCAGGACAGTGAGCCCGCAAACCCAAAAGGAGCCCTTCGCCCTTTCGCACCCAGTTACAGATGGGCAGGGGACGGGGGCTTCTTCTCACGCTTCCCGCAGGGCTCAAGTCCCGCACGTACATACCTGGACCCCAGCCACACGCCCTGCCAGTCGCATTCACACACGGACACCGCCCCCCATCAGTCTCCGCAGACAAGCCAGCCTTCGCCGAAACATAAGTGCCCGCACCAGCTGTCTACAAATGAGCGCTTGCACCCACCCAAACCGACTTCACCGGGACCAGAAAGCAACCCCGAGAGTTTCTGCTTTGGGAAACAGGCACGTGTTATATGCACAGGGGTACACACTGTCCCCCCAGCACACCCACAGACACGTACATCCACGCACACGGAGCCAGCCTCTCCCTTTTTCTTAAGGAAAGCCTGATTCTCCGGTCCACACTGTGGGCCCCCGAGGCACCCTGGCATGGGGAGAAGACTCCAGCTCTGGCCATAGATTGGGCTGGGAGGTCGAGGCAATTCGGAAGAAGTGAGGGAGCGCCACCCACCACCAGAACCTCAGGCTAGCCCTGCACCGCGTTCGGGCTGCGGACCCAAAGGCTCCGGCCTGTCCGGGCTCAGCTCCCGAGGCCTTGCCCGAGGGTGCGGGGCAGGGAGGGCGTAGCCAGAGACTCGTGGGATCCCCACGGCTGGTTCTACTCGCTTGTGCGGGTCAGAACGGGGCCCAGGGGATCTGTCTACGCCTCCGGGCCTCATTTTCTGTGGCCCGCAGGGTGCTCGGAGGCTGCCTGGGCTGGAGTTGCCCCTCCCTACTGGGCCGCTGTTAGACACGTAGAGCGCGGCTGGGGGCCGCAGCGGGCGGGAAGCAGAGCAGGTGGACTCCCGAGACCTGTGTAACCGCACACCAGCAAGCGCTGTCCCCCAAGGGGGTTCCTCTGTAATACTGGTAAGGTCTCTCTGCGCCCGAAGTATTGAGCTCACTTTTGGATGCAACCAGGGACACCGAAGCAGCTTTTACTAGGAGGCCCTTCTTCCCAAATCCCTGTGAATAGAAGGGGAGACTTCTTCATCCTTTTCCCCACTTCTGAGCCGGGAAGGGGGCTGCTGAATGACAAGGCGCAGCTGGGAGGCATTACCTAACGCCTCTGCCCTCTACACCGCCTCTTCCAGGATCCCTGCCACCATCCCTAGGTCTGGCAGAGCACGCAGGCCGCCCCAGCGGCTCCCGGCGCACCACTCTCCACGGAGTTCTGGGGACACACAGAAATAGCCGGGCAGCTTGGAGGATGGGGGAAGGGCAGGGTGTGGAAAAGGTTCAGAAGGCCCCAGACCCTAGCTCAGGCTTTCTAGCCCCCACAAAGTTACCAGGGGCTCTCCGAGAGCAGGAGAAGCCGGCAGTGAGTGCCGGAGAAGTTGGGTTGAGGTTTGGCCTCCCCAGAGCCCCACAAATATGAATTTGAAAAAAAAATCTGAACATTTGGGTCTGAGCGCTGGAGAGCTAGTAGCCTCTCCAGAGATTTCTTTGTCACCAGGCCTTTTCTTAGATGTTGGGACCGACAGCCATGCTGCCACCGAGTGGGGAGGCACACTCCCAGGCTGTGCCCTGCGCTCCAAAGACGCCAGGAAGTGGCCCAGAACCCCAGGAAGAGCTCCCGTTTGGGGAAACATAGGCTGAAGCTTCCATAAAGGCCGCAGAGACTAGAAGTTCTGCCCCCTGACAGGAAAAAGTGCACCCCCAACCCAGAGACCCATCCGAACCCAAATGTACCTGATTCGGCGCTCTGAACATTTTCGTGGGTGCTCAGATTTACCCCAAAATATTTGTTCTTCCACTAATAATTTTGCAGTGCCTGGTGCATAGTAGGTGCACAGCCAGCTTTCCGAGAAAGGGGATGGGTGAGTCAACAGTCCCATGGCTTCACTGCAGTAGGAGTCAGCAGTAAATTCGCAACCAGGCTGAGTTGGGCTGCAGACCCAGTTTAGATCCATTAGATAGAAAAGCAAATCGCTTATCCACACAAGCACCTGCTTTTTCTTTTTTTATTTATTAAAAGGCAACCATGTCCTGGTGAAAACTTTCTAGAATTTAATATGAGAGAAAGTACTGAGGGCTTCTTTTCTCTTCTCCAGCAACTCGAAAAGCAAAACAAGGCAGTTTCCCTCAGCCCATCCTTGTATTATATTAGTGGGTGATGGAAGACGAAGTCAATAAAATAATTTGCTTTCCAACCTGAGAAAATTACATTTTGATTTCCCTGGAACTGTTCTCAGCTTCGAAGCATCCCCAGTCAAATGAGCACAAGAATTTATAGAAAATAGTTTCCCAGGAATGTCTTTCACTTTTGAATCATCTCAAATATTTTGATCCTCAGTTAAACTATTTTATGTAATTACCTTTAAATTTTAAAAAATGATAAATTTTTAGAGAAAAGCAGATTCCAGGTACTACAGTTTTCGAAGTTTATTTTTATTTACTTTATTATACTGTATTTTCTTCATGAATTTCCTAAGAGAAATACTCTTTAAGGGAAAGTTTCATTCATTCAAATATTTATTGAGGACCTACTGTGTGCCAGCCATTGTTCTAGACACCAGCAGCTCCCAGTAAACAAAACAAAATTCCCCTGCCTTCATAATGGTTATATTACAGTAATGTCTTTAATAAGAGTCCTTTTATACCACCCTTTACCAAAATAGAGCATACCCCTATTCTATTCACATCCTGTAAATTTGTTCCTCATTTTTGGTTTACTCTCACTTTGGTGGAGCGCACTCACCATTTCATGTTGACAGATTTCTGGAAATAAAATTCTGGGTTGGAAATTATTTTCATTCAGAATTTTGAAAGTATTCTCCATTCCCAGTATTCTCTATACCCAGTGTGACCTGAGAAATCCATTTCCCTTTGTTCTGTATTTGGTACAGGATCTCCGTCTGTCTGTCTCTCCCTCTCTTTCAGAATCTTCTCACCAGCGTTCTAAAATAACATAATGAGGTGTCTTGTTGTGGACTATTTATTGTTCTGAGTACTGACAGAACACACAATCTGAAAATTCATGTCTTTCACTTCAGGGAAATTTCTTGCTTTATTTCTTTTTTTAAAAGATTTAATTTATTTATTTTGAGAGATGGGGGAAGGGAGTCAGGAAGACAGGGTGAGAAACATTGATGTGCAAGAGATCCATAGATAGGTTGCCCCTTGCACACCCTCAACCAAGGGGGTTGTGACCTGGCCCACAACCCAGGCATGTGCCCTGACTGGGAATCAACCAGTGACCCTTTGGTTCAGAGGCTGGCACTCAATCTACTGAGCCACACTAGCCAGGGCTCTTGCCTTATTTTTTTTTTATAATTCCACGCCCCTCCTCAACTTTCTGAAAGGTTTTTTTTTTAAATTTTATATTCTTTTAAAATTTTTTTCATATTTTTAATTTCTAAGAGGCATTAAAATAACTCTGTGTGTTACTTTTTATGGACTCCTGTTTTTATTTAATGGGTGCAACATTTCTACTAGCTCTCTGAAGCTGTTAAACATAGGTGGTTTGTTTTGTTCTCATAATAGAGACCATCCTCACATTTCTCACGTTCTTTTGTTACTTGTTTAGGTTTAAGAAGAAGGTAATAAAACACGAGGTGGAAGATGGGGATGGCAGAGTTGTCCATCAATGAGCCTGAATATAGAGTGATTAGATGAAAAACAACTTCACCATTTTCTTCCGGGATCCCTAAATTATGAACAACTATAAGTCTTTTCTTATGGTTTCTCATTAAACCGAAGAAGAGTCCTCCAGTCTCCAGTGTAGGTCTGCAGAGTGGGGGTTGGGGAGGAGTAAGGGAGGCGGCTGACAGTTTTACTGTACATTATGGTAAGTCCTCCAGTCTTCTCTGAGACCCAGGACGGATAGGCATCTAACAATAGAGGAATCAGAAGAAACTCTTGAGTTCAACTACTCTTTTTAAAGGCATAGAATCATCCCGACTCTCAGGCTATTCTAAACTCCATCAGCAGAGGCAACAATTGCTCAACCCTGAGTTCTCGAGGGTCCTTGCTTCTTGATGGTTTTCCCTG